GATGGCCTCCAACCAAATAGCGACAGCCTCCAACCTAAGAGCGATGGCCTCCAACCTAATATTCATGGCCTCCAACCTCATAATTAGGGATGGCCTCCAACCTAGTAGCGACGGCCTCCAATGTAATAACAACGGCGTCCACCTAATAGCAACCCCAGAGAATGTTTGACTAAATATCAAGCAAGTTCGCATCTATGTTCTTTTTTTGTGTCCAATCTTCGTTGGTCCGAGTTTGATGAAACGTAACGTTGCACTATTAATTTTTAGAAGCTCCCGGTGAGGGTTGGACATGTCGGAAGGAACCTGACCAAGTCGGGCACAACTGCACAAGCTAAGTAAGCTTGAAATCCAAGTTTGGGTCAAAAGTTTGGGGACCCGTGCTAAGCCATAGTTTCTCCATCAAGAAAGTCAAATTGTGTCTTGGATTGAGATGTTTGAGATACCCTCCTTGCGATATTGGACTCAGGCAGACACTGATTCTGATGGAAACACAGTTTGCTTTTTTGGGATTTGTTGCATCTCAAAACGAAGTCGTGGCATTTGCTTTTCGACCGATCCAAAGCACCGCCAAGCAGCTGATCACTCACGTCGCGCACTTCCGCCATTGCGACGGTTGACGCCCAGAGAGCGTTTCGACCAGCTCAGGATGGAACGCCGTTGACCCGTTCAGCATTTTGGTCGACCCGTTTTGGTCCAACTGCGTTCAGGTCAACCCTGCTCAAAAGCTCAAGGTGACCGGGCAGAAAGGGTGAACTTCAGAGAGGTGGGGCGAAACCCAAACGTGCTGAGATTGGTCAAAATTGTAGAAGAATCAGAAGAAGATTCTAGCTTAACATTTAGATTGTCTCGATATGTTTTTGTTCACAGGAGCTCAATGGGGTTGTCCATGTCCCACACCACATTCATGGCTCAGCTCATGGCACTGTGACTTTGGACCACCAGGAGTCTACCAAAGTTAGTAGTAGTCACTAGTAGACTAGTAGTCCTAAAAGTGTTTCCTCCCACAAAGGCGTCAGCAAAACTTCATCGCTGGCTCAGTTTGGCTCGGTGTTACTCGTAGGATGGGATATGCCGCAATTCCCCATCCAGCTCATTGCAATACCGTAATACCCAGGATTCGCTGAGAACAGAAAACTACGATTCACCCGCTGGCGCTCTTGGGGGACCTGAGGGGTGGGATCAGTCCAACACATCCACAGAGGTCCGCATTTGTTTGCTGCTTTTTGGTCAAACTCGAACCCTTGCAACATGAGCAGGTCCAAAGACAAGATGGCTCCTTATTCGGGACTTTTGAAGTGCTTTAATTAGTTAGCTAGACAAGGATCCATGATGTTGGCTGGCCAGACACTCAGTCCTCAACATTTGAGACGCCAGTAGACCCCAGACATTGTGGTCGGAACGTTGGGCTCGAGGAGAGGAAGCCAAATGTGGTCCTTTATGGCTACCACCCTGTCCTCGTGGAGCCGGTCTCCGCTCTTTCGGAGGCGACGAAGAATTGCTCTTTCACCTCGTTAGTGCGCTGACAAGATCACAGTTTAGAGTCGGCTTGTTGCGGCTGGCTGCATTTATTTCTGCTTCACTTTTTTTTCCGCATTCTCAGGTGCTTCAACTGCATTGGTTTGGTGTTAGCGATCGAGACTGTGCATTCTTCAAGATGTGCAACAAGAAGAGTACCGAGAAGCCAGTGCCTGCAAGACTGAGTGCACTGGCTGCATCCAGATAGCGCTTGAGCACAGAATCAGCTGAGAATCTGTGGTATGTCATTCCGCCTCTACCGCCTGTTTTGGTGAGCTATCTTGGGTCGCTAGACTGCCTATTCTTGCCCTTGTATGCATTCATGCGCATACGCGAAGAATGCTGTAAATGCTCCCTTAGGATTCAAGATCTACGAGTCAGACGTCGACCTGAACGAAGTGGAAGATGCATATCGGATCTTTTGGGAAGCTGAAATGAGATTAGGATTGCGAGCAGATTTGATCATATGTAGCACGTCCAGAAGAACGTTGGTTTGCCTTCTGGTGTGTCTAGTTGTTGGATGCGTCCTGGTACTAATGTTGTGGCTTGATTTGTCACCATCCCACGAAACAAAAGAAAGTGACAAGGATGTTTCTTTTTTCTTTTGTTAGAGGGTACAAAAGGAACTCAAGAAATGACATGTGGATGTCCATGCACAAAATTCTATGTTTGCCTTTTACCCCCTTGGAAGAAACAATAATGTTGATAAAAACGGAGTAACCTAGAGTCTCAAGGTTTTTCAAAACCAGTAAGCAGTGTACATTCAATATTCAAAAAGGATGTTCACTCAACAAAGAGAGTGATATGGGCACGAGAATACAAAAAATTCAGCTTTAGGAGTTGCTGTTCCAAACCCCAAATGGCAATTCCAAGGTTTAATCCATGGAGTCCATGCCTATCCTTTGCTGGATTCACTTACGCTCATCCATGTTCCTTACAAAGAGTCGGCGAAGCTTACTATTTGGAATCAGAGACTCCAACAAACAAACTAGTAGCGTCCTTGCTCCTAGTAGTATGGCCAGGAGCCCCTAGTAG